AAAAAAAAAAAAAAAAAAAAAAAAATTGCTCGTGGTAGTCTTACAGAATAAAATCCTATAAAAGGATATTTTAACCCAACACAATCATCTGTATTTCATCATCTTAATACAATTCAAATATTCAGTGTTCTTTTCTGATTCTCCCTCTCTCTTTTTTTGAGACAGGTAGTCACTATGTAGTTCAGGCTGGCCTTGAACTCACTATGTAGCCTAAGCTAGCCTCAAACTAGCACTGATCCTCCTGCCTCTGCTCCCAAGTGCTGGGATTACAGGAGTGCACTACCGTGCCTGGCACTCTTCTGGCTCTTAACCATGAAGTTTTTCTGTGGGGATGAAGCCCAGGGTCTGCCACATGCTAGGCAATGCCCTTACCACTGAGCTACACTGCGCACCAGCCCCTATGAAGCCTTTATAGTCCACCTCAATTATGAACATATTTAGACCCTGCTTTTCTCTTTTAATATTCTATCTATTGTAAAAATTTAGAGAATACATCTGTTCATTTGTCTCATTTTGTTTGTTTGCTTTGAGACAGAGTCTCATTGTGTAGTTGAGACTGACCTGGAACTCACTATGTAGCCCAGGCTGGTCTCGAATTTACAGCGATCCTCCTGCCTCAGCCTTCCCAGTGCTGGGATTATAGGCGTTAGCCAGCACCCCCCTTTAAGACATCCTCTTGCTAGGTAGTCCAGCCTGGCCTTGACCTCACTATGCAGCCCACGTTGGCCTGGAATTCAGGGCAATCCTCGTGCCTCCCGGCCTAACATCCCTTCTACAGGGTCCAGAATATTTAGTCCAATGACTACACCATAATTTTCTCTTTTTTTCATAATTTTCTTAATTATACCCTTTTGATGGACATTTAGGGTTTTTCCAAACACCTTGGTGACAATCTCGGCAGCCGCAAATCTGTTTCCTTCGGTTGGATAGTTTCCTACTACTGATGTGTGGGGTTATGGATGATCGGTTTTAATAATTTCTGGCTCTTGACAAATTCCCTCTGGGGCGCAATCCACTCGCCCCCAGCCTCAGGCTCTACCAAACCAGACCCTCCCCTCCGTCGCTCTCCTCCCGCTGGGCTGTCCCCTGGGATGCCCGACCCAGCCCCGCCTCTGCACACCTAGCTCACCAGGTTTGCGAGTTGTCCCCTCCCCAGGCAACCTAGTGTTGTGAGTCGCAGCGCGGGGCCATCCGGACTCTCCGCCCAGCCGTCGCCCTGCGCCGGCCTTACCTCAGCTTCCGCGGTCCTGCTTGGGTCCCCAGGCGGACAGTCCGGGCGACACGTCATTGTCCCGTGGCGGCCCGCTCGCCCTGGCGCCAGGCTGATCCTTTCCTTCTGGAAGCTCCTCGGACATTAATAAATACGAAGCATGTGCACCAGGAGCAGGTGTGACACAGGCCGGGCAGAAACGAATTAGTGCAGCAGTGTACTGCATTCGTTCACTCACGAACTCGCTGAGCCAACGTTACCCGTGGCAGACAACGAAAGACAGCGGAAGCAAGAAAGTAAAAACATAATGGTGACCCAGGCTGGGAACGAAAATCAGGCAGTGGAAAGGGTCTGAAATGAGGCGCTGTCAGGAAGGCCTCCTGGATAAGTGACAGTAACGACAGGTGACATTAACTGGGTGTCCAATGTGGGTCAGGGCTCTGTGTCCCTCACATTCGAACGCCCTTACATCGGGAGTGCATGAGCGGGGGAGATGAGCCTCAGATCACCGTGTGGTCCGAGCCTCTGGACCCTCCGCTACCCCGGAAGTAGCCCAGGTGGGACCGGAGCCGGGGACCAGCTGCCCACCGCGCCGCAAAGTCCTAGCGCCGCTGCTTGAGCCCCTGCCGGCATCACGATGTTGAAGAAATTCGACAAGAAGGACGAAGAGTCCGGTGAGGGGCCCGGGAGACCTGGGGTAGGCGGGCCGGTGGCTCAGGTTCTCCAGCCGTCCCCGGCATCCCCGGAAGTAGCCCAGGTGGGACCGGAGCCGGGGACCAGCTGCCCACCGCGCCGCAAAGTCCTAGCGCCGCTGCTTGAGCCCCTGCCGGCATCACGATGTTGAAGAAATTCGACAAGAAGGACGAAGAGTCCGGTGAGGGGCCCGGGAGACCTGGGGTAGGCGGGCCGGTGGCTCAGGTTCTCCAGCCGTCCCCGGCATCCCTCCTTCGTGGCCTTTGTCCCGACGCGGGTGCCGAGGCCCAGCAACGGCCAGAAGCTTGGGTCGCAGCCGGCCTACTAGGCTTCAGGGAGCCCCAGAGAGCCCCGCTGCCTCCCCCTCGTGAGCTCCAACCGGGATTTGCTGCGTGACCTTGTGCGGGTTACGCACCTATGTGGGCCTCAGTTTCCCCATCTGTCAGGAGGGTGCCGGGCTGGGGGCTCCTTGTTCTTTTTCCGTCCGACCTTTTGATGTCTGCCCGGCGGTGTCTGCGTTGGTGCTGGCCATTACTGGGGCGTGATCTATGTCGTGGGTGACAAGCGCGGCTCTTCATTCATTTGATCAGAAAGCATTGCGCACCTGCTGAATGCCAGGCTCTGTAGGCGTCCTGATCCTGCAGTAAGACAAGAGGGACACAGTGTTAGAATGGCCACATAGTGTAGGAAACGAACATCAACTAGATAATTGCACAGGTAATTAGTTACAAATTGGCTTCTGCAGGGAGGGAAATTTGGTCCCAGGTTGGTACCTAAGGACTCAGTTAAGTACGGATTGCATGAATGACTGCAGGACATGGCACTTGAGAGGCGCAGAGGTCTGTGCCAGAACTTCTGGGGGAGTGTGAGTGGTTTGGGCCCCCTGGCAAGAGTGTGACAGAATCCGTAGTCAGACTATAGAGCCTTGAGTGCCATCTGGGAGGAGTTTGAACTTTCTTGGGTAGAGAATGGGGACATCATTCCCTTCCCTGTGTCTGGGAGTTTAGAATTCAGGGTCACCACCTGAAATGAGTCTCCTTGGTTCTCCTTGACTGCAGGTGGAGGTTCCAACCCTTTCCAGCACCTGGAGAAAAGTGCAGTACTCCAAGAGGTAAGTGACGTTTGCTCCTCTGTCCCCATTGTGATTGTTCACCAACAGTGCAGTCAGAATACTAACACCACTTTCACAGTGCTAGTCTCCAAGCAACTGGAGAGAAAGCCTTGCCAGAAAACACAGGAAAGCTTGGTTCCAGCAGAGTTTGTTAAGCTTGTTTTTGTTCTCATTTATCATTCCTCTTTCCACTTAAGAATGTCTGCTAAGCATTTGCTAGTTAGTAAGTCAGCACATCCCTAAAGGTTAGGGAAGATTTTTAGGAATTATTAATAGATTAGTTAAGAAACAAAGAAAAACACTTTCCTCGTGAGATAATCTTGTATAGGCAAGTGTATTTATTTCCCCTGTGACTTCTCAATCCTGAAGTACCTGAGGGGAATCAGTGGAAGGAAAATGCACTGGTCTCAGAGCTAATACCTTCTTGTGCTTCTTCTTAGGCCCGTGTCTTTAACGAAACTCCCATCAACCCTCGGAAATGTGCCCACATCCTCACCAAGATTCTTTACCTCATCAACCAGGTAAGTGGGTGAAGCTTGGAGCAGGGGAAGGTGGTGCTGGGGGTGTCAGGAAGGGTGCATCATTGGGCTGTTTGACACCCTCTCTGAGGCTGTAGCTCCTGGTCCCCCAAGCATCCCACTCTGATTTGCTGCCTTCAGTGGAACCCTTCAGGGATTAAGGACCTGACCTAAGCTGATCTTAGGGGAAGAAGCAGGCTGATCCTTCTTTCTCCCAGGCTGAGTTTCTTTCTCTTTTCTTTCCTTTTTGAGACAGGGTCTCACTATGTAGTTGAGACTAACCTGGAACTCACTATGTAGACCAGGCTGGTCTCCACAGCAATCCTCCTGCCTCAGCCTCCTGAGTGCTGGGATTACAGGTGTGCACCACCATGCCTGGCTCTTTCTTTTTTCTTTTTCTTCTCTTTTTTTTTTTTTTTTTCTTTTTTTTTTTTTTTTTCTTTTTTTTTTTTTTTTTCTTTTTTTTTTTTTTTTTCTTTTTTTTTTTTTTTTTCTTTTTTTTTTTTTTTTTCTTTTTTTTTTTTTTTTTCTTTTTTTTTTTTTTTTTCTTTTTTTTTTTTTTTTTTTTTTTTTTTTTTTTTTTTTTTTTTGTACCAGGGATCAAACTCCAGCCCTTAGTGGCAGAACCACTGAGCTAACTCCTCAGCCTATCCTGAGTTTCTTTCTTGATCCCCACAGGGGGAGCACCTGGGGACCACCGAAGCAACAGAGGCCTTCTTTGCTATGACCAAGCTTTTTCAGTCCAATGACGTAAGTGTCCCAACCCCAGCCTTCCTGGAGAGATGTGGGTGCCGTCACCGGTGGTTTCTTCTCCCACCTCTTGTGACCCTGCTGAGTAGGCCGATAAGGCTCTTCCCATCTCTTTCCCAGCCCACACTCCGGCGGATGTGCTACTTGACCATCAAGGAGATGTCTTGCATCGCAGAGGACGTCATCATTGTCACCAGCAGGTGACTCTTGGGGCTGTGGGAGTCGGCTCCATGGCCCCTGTGGACAGACCCTTTTTGTGGTGTGTACAGATGAAGAGGCTTTCTATTGGCATAGGGCCAGGTGCCCTTTCCTCCACTGTCTGTCATCCTGCAATCACTGAAGGCACCCATCATAGCTGCCGGAGTGGGCTGTTTCCCTTTGACTTCCCTGGCCTTGACTTGGGCACAAACCTTTCCTTCCTGTGATTTCTCTTAGTTAACTCAGCCAGCCTAGAACTTTTTTGTTTTGGTTTTTTGAGACAGGGTCTCGCCATGTGTTTCAGGCTGACCATGAACTCACTGTGGAGCCCAGGCTGACCTCAAACTCATGGTGATCTGCCTGCCTCAGCCTCCCAAGGGCTGGGATTGCCAAAGCCTGGAACTTTCACAAAGACTTTAGTGAGTGCTTACAGGACAATATAATAAAAACAGACATAGAGAGTGCAAGAGATATATGAATAGGACTGCTGACCAGGTACTGATTTCTGAATTAGGCTGAGTGATTCAGGGGACAGATGTCCTTAATGTATAATCCCTGCTCATTCAAGCTGGGGTTCCACCCGCATTTTTTGTTGCCACAGGTGTTTGTGCAACAGAAGGTAGATTCCCTTGGTAGAGTCTCAGTAAATAGAAAATATTTACTGAATGTGTATTAGTTTGTGGAGCTTTGGGGATAAAGCAGCAAACAAGACAGCTGTGGCCGCCACAGCCCTAGAATAACAAGTTAGCCAGGCTCCTGGGGGCTTGTCTGTTCTTTGCCCAAGAAGCCATGGAAATAGAGGACTGAGTGAGAACAGAGGAAGGATCTGGTCAGTTCTAAGTTATAAAAATCCCTCCAGCTGCCCTTTGGCTGGGTGGGAGGAATAGAAGGTCAGCAAGAGCAGGGAGACTTGTGAAGTGACCCAGCCAGGTGTGGCAGGGGATCCGGCCCTAGTACCCCCATGTCAGCTACATCCCCTGTCCCCTACAGCCTGACAAAAGACATGACCGGGAAAGAGGACAACTACCGGGGCCCAGCTGTGCGTGCCCTGTGCCAGATCACTGATGTGAGTCCATGCCCTCCTGTGTTCTGCACACGCTTCTGGCTGTCCCCTGCTCCTTTGATCAGGGTGTGCAAGAGCACCCCGAAACACTTGCTGCCTTCCTTCCCCATATTACTCCTTTGCACCACAAAGCTGCACTTCTGAGGGTCCCTGCCTCCCTGCTCCTGTCCCCACAGAGCACCATGCTACAGGCCATTGAACGCTACATGAAGCAGGCCATTGTGGACAAGGTGCCCAGCGTCTCCAGCTCTGCCCTGGTATCTTCCCTGGTGAGTAGCTGTGGCTGGGCCCTGTGGGATAGGAGGAAAACAGAAGAAAATATCAGTCCCTTTCCAGTGTGTGTGTGTGTGTGTGTGTGTGTTGGAGGTGGGGCAGGACCCTGGTGCATGGCCTTGAGCCACCTGTGGGGAGACAGGCTGTTGAGTTGGGATCTGGCAAGAGGTCTTCTGCTGGCCAGGGAGCCTGGAGTGGGAGCTGAATTTGTCCTTGGAACCAGCTGGGAGCTGATGGGCTACATCTGGGAGGGGCCTGGGGTGCCCACCCAGGGTGGGCAGCAGGTGGCCGTCCTGGCTACCCCTCACCTGCCCTATGCCCACAGCACCTGCTGAAGTGCAGCTTTGACATGGTCAAGCGCTGGGTGAACGAGGCCCAGGAGGCAGCATCCAGTGATAACATCATGGTCCAGGTAAGGTGCGAGGGCAGATAATACTGAAAGTACTCAGGCAGAGCCACGGTGGTGGCACACACCTGTCATCCCGGCACTCTAGGAGGCTGAGGCAGGAGGAACAAAAGTTCCAGCTCCACCTGGGTTACTTAGCAACTTAGCGAGACCATGTTTCAAAATAAACAGTTAAAAGGGAGGTGCAGATGTAGTTCAGCGCAAAGGCCCTTGGTTTACTCCTCAGTACCACAGAGGTGGAGGTGGGGTGGTAGAGAAAGGTGTACAGGTGTGGTACACAACTGTAATCCTAGCATTCAGGAGGCTGAAGCAAGAGGAGCACTTCTAGTCTGAGGCCAGCCTGAGTTACATAGTAAGTTCAAGGTCAGCCTGAAATACATAGTGAAAACCCCCTGTGTCAGAAAATAAAAAAAAAGAAGTTTGAAGCCCACAGACATACAGTGACTTGTATGTCCCCGCTATCGCTGTCCTGTAGTACCACGCCCTGGGGCTCCTGTACCATGTGCGGAGGAACGACCGCCTGGCTGTC